TACAACACTCTTTTCTAAAAACTTTTTCTTTAGTGTACCCAGTACAAGCGCTTTGAAGAATTCATCAGAAAAGCAGCAAAAGTTTTGAAGAGAATGCGAATATTGGCAACGTGGCATATACACTTATGTAATGTCTGTGTAAGAAAATTGAAATGACAACGTAGCACATACACTTGCATAACATCTGTGAAAGGATGTTAGCGGTATTATGTTAGCGCCTATTTGACGATCGTCTTTATTCTATAAATATATATATATGTATATAAATTCGATATCGTTGGTAAATGAAGATAACGTTTTCTACGTTTTGACGATCGCTCTACGTTATCGACGCTTATCAAGTTCATCGCTCGCTCCGGCATCCCCTTAAGAAACAACTCAATTTTCACACACACATTGGAATAAAATTTTTAATTAAATTCATTAAATTTCATAATATCTAATGTCTCAATATTTTTCATTATTGTTCAATAGTATACTTTAACATTCCTTCTATTTCACAGCATTTATTATATTTTATTAGAAAAATTGTTTCTCATATTGAAATACATTCAATCAGTTTTTAATTACTTTCATTTCACTTTTCATCGATTTCATAGTATTTTCAATGAAATATTTATATTTTTATCAAAGGAAGCACAGAAGAAAACTAAAAACGTACTACACTTGTGTGTATGAGTGAGAATATTTCACAGAATTTAAAAATTTCAATAATTTGTAAAAGGAAAATTATTACCGCATATGGTATTTCGATGCATTTCACGTTATGTTCTGGCATTTCAACGAATTTGTAGTAACCTTTCCTATACATAGTAGGAACATTCTTCACGGTGTTGGCGTTAATGTGGAATGGACGGTCTTCAGTATTCTTGGGATCAAATTCCTTGGCCCATTTACCCTTGAAGTACACTGCGTTAGCAAGTACCAGTGCAGTAGAATCATCTAAATCTTCTGATCATCAACAAAAACCACAATGAACATTATTTGAAATTAATTAATTCTAACGAACTTTCTATATAACTATATATAAACGTTATGATGTATTTATATAATTTCTACCCTTACGGAAAAAAACTATTAAGCGTGCAATACTTAGTATTGATTAATACTAAATTGGTCAATACTTTTTTGGGGAATATTTAGTATTGATGAATACTAAAAGTATATATGGAATATTGTTAAAATATACTATCCCTCACAACACATTAATATTGATTTTAAATAAAATGTAGCTCTTTTATTTGATTTCTCACTATTTTCACACCTGAAAATTTACTCAGTATTAGTCGGACGCGAACTCGAGACCTCAGATATCTCCAGGTTCCTAGTCTATCATCTTGGCTGCCACGCTATTTCTTTAACTGATACTAAGCGTTTTTTATTATCCTCATATGCAGCCGAAGCAGTAATTATAATTTTCTTATAATATTATTCAATATAATCACAAAAATAAACTATTTAGTCCAAATATTTCATATAATGAAAAAGAAGTCAGAAATATATGCATAAAATATTTATATAAAATATGTTTATCTAAGTGTTGACATTACAAAACATTTAAAAAAACATTTAAAAAAACACTTTTAAAACGTTAAAAATAATGGAATAAATTCTCTTTTTTTTTAATTAAAAGAACATTTTTTAACGTATGAAAAAATGTTTTTTTTTCTAATATTTAATAAATGTTTATTTTAACATTTAGAAAATATTTTTTAAATGTTAAACGTTAACACTTAGAAAAATATTTTTTAAATATTAAAATAAATGTTTATTAAAAATATTAAAAAAACAAAACATTCTTCCAAAAGTTAAAAAAACGGTTTTTTAATGAAACAAGAGAACTTATCCCATTATTTTTAACGTTTCCAAAATGTTTTTTTAAATATTATTAAATGTTTTTTAAATATTGTTTGATATAATGAATATTTAAATATTGACCAATATTAACTCGCAATACTCAATCTTCATCAATATTTAACTATATCAATATTTAAGTATTGACCAATACTAACTCTCAATGCTTAGTATTCATCAATATTTAACGCACTCAATACTTCAGTATTGATCAATACTAACTCTGAATACTCAGTATTACAACTTGAATACTAAGTATTACAACTTCAATATTTAGTATTGAATCTCAATAGTTTTTTTCCGTAAGGGTACATAAGTAAATCCACATCATTTTATTCTTCACCCTTATGAAAAAGTAATACTGGAACTCAGTATGATCGAATTTAGTAGTACTTTGAGTACTTATGTCTCACTATTTAAGTACAGGAAAGTACTGAGATATAAATACTCAAAGTACTACTAAATTCGACCATACTGAGCTCCAGTACTATTTTTTCGTAAGGGTGACTTTATCTTTCTTTCTGAGTTTAGAAATATATTATCTAAATCTTTTAGAATGCAATTTCACTCAAAAATAAATAAACATTTACTTAAAACGGTAGTGAAAATGCCGCCACGCAAAATTACAAGAATAAATATTTTACTCAATTTTAGAATAAATTCTGACTCTATATAGAGTGGATATTTTAATTGATTAGAGTGAAATTGTTCCTATGACGGATCGAATTCATCTTTTAATCTAAAATATTCATTCAACGATTTAAAGTAAATAATTTATTTTATATAAGTAAAAAATCAAATTCTGATATTCGGCCGTCACTCTATTTTTTGAGTGAAATTCTAAAAAATTAAGAAATAGATAACGATAATACTTGTATATTTATATATTGTGAAATTGTAAAGCGTATTTCTGCATGTACATCAAAGTTCAATTATACTTGATCATTCTCTAAATCAAGAGTTACTAAAAATATTGAATCAAGAGTATTTATTTCTACGTACTCAAGCGTTGTAACTATTGATTATTCGAGAAAATAACAATAATGTGTTCAAACAACTGTAACATTTTGACGTTATACTAACACGTTAATTGTAACACATTGACGTTTTGTTTGTATCAGTTTATTACGAATAATTAATAGAAAAACGATACAATTAAATTTAATTTAAACTATT